AACAACTATTTGACTTATGTCAGAACCGACTTATGATGGAGTCGTCGGAACGGAACCCCGTCGTAAGTCAGGGATTACCTGCATTCATCTCCTTTATGAATCTCATCTCATACTTAACAGGGATGTGAAGCAGAGGCAACATGGAAAAACAGAAAAAAAAAAGGCTTTTATTTCAAACATACAGGGGTCCATCCTTATTCTAATGCTATTTTGCAGTGTAGATTGGCCAAGATACTTACTTTTTGAGCCTCAGTGGCTCCAGCTACTAAGAGGGAATAGTAATATCTTCCTCACAAGTAGAGATGAAAATACCCAGTACACCAAACGGTACATTTTAGTACTCAACAAATAAATGTTAATCCTCTCTATATCCTTCCCTTTTTCCTCCCCATCACAGTGGTATTACAGAATTAAGTAATCCAGGACCATGATTTTGCCTTCATCGTTATGTCAGAAGATCCATCCTCTTAAAACTATGATAGAGAACCTGTTGTTCAATTCTCCCAATAATGGCCTCTTCCCCAGTGCTCTGTACAATTAGCTACTTCCTGTTTCTGGGTCATGATGTCTCATACTTCCTAAGAGGTGATCCAACAGCAACATCTATTGTCCCACTGACTGCAGGGGTTGATCTGGCTTCTCAATTGACTAGCCATATGCCTCTCAGCCTCCTTCTATTCTTCCCCTTCACTTTCTGGTGAGTGAGTAGCCTCATGAAACTATAATCCAGGCTGAAGATGACTTCTCAATAAAGAAAATTCTTCAGGCTGTGCTCTCCAGTGAGAAATAAATGAGGCGATCAAAGTCCTAAAATTTATACTTTCTGGCTAGGTGAGTGGTATTTGCACTAAATAAAAATGAGAAGAGGAAAGGAGGATTTTCACAAGGGAATCTCTTAACTTCGCCAATTGAAACTCTTAATTTTTTTGCCGAAATGTCTATTTATCTCCCATGGCAGGAATCATCAAAGCTATCTCTTACACAGAGATCGTTAGATATGGCAATATATAGAAAAATTAAGATAATAAAAACAATGAATATTTTCATAAGTGATTAGCTTATCTTACCTTTGATGAGGTACAAGAATATTATTGATCCCTCCGAGTTTAACATTTATTTTTAGGCACAGGTTTGAGAGAGTTTGAGGAGATGTTTTTATTACATTCTTGACTTGAACACATTGTGTAGCCATACCCAAAAGTGTGTCTCCTACACGTTTCACCTCCGCTACAGAACAAATGAAAATACCTCTAGTTAGAAAAAAGGCCAGATGTTACTGAAAATAAAGCTATTATGTTTCCCTCCTTTGATATACATTATTGTATTACGGGATACCAACAATCACACCAATACTAAAACTATCCTGTTAAAATTTAAGGTATACTGCCTTGAAGATTAGCTTAAGTATTTAGTGACAATTTTCTGGTTGTTTGCTTCATTTTATAAGACGGTATATTTTTACCTTTATAAAAATAGGATAACCACAATAATTAAAAACCGTAAGGAGGAAACAACCTAAATGTCCATCAACAAAATGTGATAAATACATATAACAGGTTTTTTTTACTCAGCCATAAAGAAAAATAAAGTCCTGATACATGCTATAATATAGATGAACCTTGAAAACATTATGCTGAGTGAAATAAGTTACTGACAAAAGGACAAATACTTTATGATCTCACTTACATGAAACATCTAGAATAGGCCAAGGTACAGAGACCAAATTTTTATTAGTGGTCACCAGAGGTGGGAGGGAGCAGGAAAGGGAGAGTCATTGTTTAGGAAGCAGTGAGTTTCAGTTTATGGAGATGGAAAATCTGGTAATGATTATTGGTGATGTTTGCACAACAGATTAATATAATAAATATCACTAAATTGTACGCATGAAAAATGCTGAACTGGTAAATGTTATGTTATATATATCTTTACAACAATAAAAAAGAAAAAATCATAGAGAAAAATACTGTAATCTGTTATTAACATACTCTCTATATTATTAGTATGCAGTTATAATCACATATGCTTACAGTTTTCAATCCTCCAACCTTTAATTAAAAAATACACAGGTAATTACAATATACCCACTCTGCCATTATGACTTCCACAAAGAGTTCAGTGTATGTTGTTCTTATGAGGTGTGGTCAAGTTGGTTCCGACTCATAGCCACCCTATGTTCAACAGAATGAAACACTGCCTCATCCTGTGCCATCCTCAGAGTCGTTGCTATGTTTGAGCCCGTTGTTGCAGCCACTGTGTCAATCCATCTCATTGAGGGTCTTCCTCTTTTTCACTGACCCTCTACTTTACCAAGCATGATGTCCTTCGCAAGGGACTGGTCCCTCCTGGTAACATGTCCCAAGTACATGAGACGAAGTCTTGACATCCTTGTTTCCTAGGAGCATTCTAGCTGTACTTCTTTCAAGACAGATTTGTTTGTTCTTCTGGCAGTCAATGGTGTATTCAACATTCTTCACCAACACCATAATTCAGATGCACCAATTCTTCAGTCTTCCTTATTCCTTGTCTAGCTTTTATATGTATATGAGGCAATTGAAAATATCATGGTTTAGGTCAGGTGCACCTTAGTCCTCAAAGTGACATCTCTGCTTTTCAACACTTTAAAGAGTTTTTTTTGCAGCAGATTTGCCCAATGCAATGTCATCTGACTTCATGATTGCTGCTTTCATGGGCGTTGACTGTGGATCCAAGTACAATGAAATCTTTGATAACTTCAATATTTTCTCCATTCATCAGATGTTGCTTATTGGACCAGTTGTGAGGATTTGTTTTCTTTATGTTGAGGTGCAATCCATACTGAAGGCTGTAGCCTTTGATCTTCATCAGTGTTAAGTGCTTCAAGTCCTCTTCCTTTTCTGCAAGCACAGTTGTGTCATCTGCATACCGCAAGTTGTTAATGAGTCTTCCACCAATTCTGATGCCCTGTTCTTCTTCATATAGTCCACCTTCTTGAGTTATTTGTTTAGCATACAGATTGAATAAGTATGGTGAAAGGATACAACCCTGACACACACTTTTCCTGACTTTAAAACACTCAGTATCCCCTTGTCCTGCTTGAATGACTGCCTCTTGGTCTACGTACAGGTTCCACATGAGCACAATTAAGTGTTCTGAAATTTCCCTTTCTTTTCAATGTTACCCATAATTTGCTATGATCCACACAGTCAAATGCCTTTTCGTCATCAATAAAACAGTGTATACGACTTCTCACATACAAAACATATGAAAAATATTTTAAAATCAAATCTGAGCTCAAAGTACACATGGTACAGCTACTATGGAAAACAGTTTGGTGGTTCCTCAAAAAATTAAACACAGAATTACCATATGACCCAGAAAATTCCAGCCCTTAAGATATACTCAAAATAACTGAAGGCAGGGGGACTCAAACAGATACTTTTGCATCAACGCTCATACTTTTGCATCAACGCTCATAGCAGCATTATTCACAATAGCCAAAAGGTGGAAAAAACCCAAGTGTCCATCAACAGGTGAATGGATAAACAAAACGTGGTATATCCAGACAATGGAAATTTATTCAGCCATAAAAAGGAATAAAGTTCTAACACATGCTACAACATGGATGATTCCTGAAAACATGCTAAGTGAAATAAGACAGACACAAAAGGACAAATACTATACAATTCCACTTGCAGAAATATTGAGAATAGGCAAATACACAGAGACAGAAAGTAGATTAGAGGTTACCAGGGGCAGGATGGAAGGAAGAACGGGGAGTTATTGCTTAATGAGTAGAGTTTCTGTTTGGGGTGATAAAAAGGTTTTGGAAATAGATAGTGGTGATAATTGTACATGGTGAATATAATTAGTCATTGAATTTTACACTTAAAAACTGTTAAAATGGCAAATTTTATACTATATAGGTATGTGTTGCTTAACATTCATGTAAACCAAAAAAGAAAAAAACCAAACTCGTTGCTGTCAAGTCGATTCCGACTCATACTGACCCTATAGGACAGAGTAGAACTGCCCCACAGAGTTTCCACGGAGCAGCTGGTGGATTTGAACTTCCGACCTTTTGGTTAGCAGCTGAGCTCTTAACCACTGTGCCACCAGGGCTCCAAAACATTCATGGTATGTTCAGTGAAATAGGACGTTATGTGATTTGGATGTTGTGCAAACACCGCATTAAAATCTTATGGGAGCCCGTTTCCAGTCGTCCTTGTTGCTGCTGCTGCCACTGCTGGCGGAGGCTGGAGGAATGATTAGCAGCAGCTGTGGTGGCTGACAGGAAGCAGAGATGAGCTAGAGGAAGCTAGTGAGGACGGAGGGGAGTGCGCGCAGCCTGGCCCGCTGTTCTGCTCAACTGAGCAACAGGAGCAGCCTGGGCCCGAAACCACTGCTACCACTAGCCCACCTGCCCACTGGACAAAGCCTGAGAGCCCGTGTCCAGAGTCATGTTCTCTGCCTCACCTGCTTGTATCCCACCCGTGGCCCAGTGCTGTTAAGAATATGGGTTTGAGATCTTTAAAACCATTAGGAGGAAACAATAAACAAAACGAGAGCTGCTTTCCCTTTAAAAAACAAACAAAAAAAAACCTTATAGGACCACAGACATATATGAGGTTGGATGTTGTCCAAATGGATGTTAAGCACCGCATACCTGTATATATTTTGCCACAATTTAAAAAAAAAAAGAAAGAAATGAGCTATCTAGCCAATAAAAGACATGAAGGAATCTTAAATGCTTATTACTAAGTGAAAGAAGCCAGTCTGATTCCAACTACATGATATTCTATAAAAGGCAAAACCATAAAGACAGTAAAAATACCAGTGGTTGCCAGGGTAAAAGGGGGGAAAGAGGGAAGGATGAATAGATGAAGCGCGGGGATTTTTAGGGTGGTGAAACTATTCAGAAGACAGACATGGGAGTGTGCTCTTGTAAAGATTTACAGCCTTCAGTTCTACTCTGTTCTATACGGTCGCTGTAAGTTGGAATCGAGTCAATGGCAATGGGGTTTGAAACTATTCTGTATGATACTGTGATAGTGGACACGTGACATTATGCTTCTGTCAAAACTCACAGAACTGTACAACACAAAGTGTGAACCTAAATGCAAACTATGAACGTTGGTTAATAATAATAATATTGGTTCATTAAATGTACTACATTAATGCAAAACAAAATCAAATTGACTCCAAGTTATGGCAACACCATGTGTTACAGAGTAGAAATGTCCACAGGGTTGCAATCTTTATGGAAGTAAATTGCCAGGCCTTTCTTCCATGGTGCTGCCGGGGGTGGGGTTGGAATTACCAACTTATAGGTCAGGAGTCTAGTACAAATCTTTTGTGCCACCCAGGGACATTAATGGAAGATGTTAATAATAGGGGAAACTGTGTGAGGGAGAGGTAGGCATATCAGAAATCTCTGTCCTATCTGCTCAATTGTTCTGTTAAGTCTAAAATTGTTCTAACAAATAAAGTCTGTTAATTAAAAACAAGATCACTCTGCAAGCAAATGCAAAGACTGGAGTAGAAGGGAACTAGAGAAAACCAGTTTGGAGACTATGGTAATAACCATCTTACCCTCCCACCAACAGAGACAGACTGTGTATTTATTCACATCCCTGTCAACAATGGGTATTACCATTGCTGGTGAAAGAAACTTGATTTTGGTTCACATATTTTTAATGATTAATGAGGCTGAGCACCTTTTCATAAGGTCATAAGATCATTTGTTTTTCTGTTTTATGTCCTTTCCTATTTTTTTTGCTGGATTGTTTCTCTTTCTCTTATTGATGTACAAATTCATTGAGTTTAAAAGATAACAGCTTCTGTATTTTATCACAACTTTTAAAATTTTACCTTCTGACTTTCATACCTATCATTTTTAAACACAGAATAATATTTCATCAACATACTTCAGTTTACTCATTATTTAAGACCAGTTCTCTGTAGTTTTTTAATATCACAGGTGTCAGCATGAAAATCTTTGTGCACAGAAATTTTTGACATTATGAATTGTTTCCTTTGAATAGATTCTTGGGAGTAGAAATACGAAGTATTTTTACTAAAAACATATTACCCAAAACATATTTTTATGACTTTGGATGTAAAAGGGTATTATCAATTTATACTACCACCAGCAATGTATTAAAGCACCAGAGTCACTAGGTATTATACACACAAGTAAAGTACTCACAAGAACTAGGTATTATACTACTTAAATTATACTTGCTAAGTTAGTAGCATAAAATCTTTCCTCTATTAATTTGTACTTTTCTTTAACTATAAAAACCAACATTGTCACATATTCACTTGTTTTGTATCTTCTTGAGAAATTTTAGTTTATATTCTTTGCTCATTAATCTAAAACACAGGAACGTTTTTCCTTTGTTGAACCAATAACCCAGGTGTATGAATATTTTAACTAATTATACTCCATTTGGTGGTTTGAAAATTATACATTTTCTTTGTGTTTCTGAACAGTTTGCTGTTGCTGTTAGGTGCTGTTGAGTTGGCTCTGACTCATAGCGACCCTACATACAACAAAACAAATCACTGTCTGGTTGTGTGCCACCCTCAAAATTGTTGCTGTATTTGAGCTTACTGCTGCAGCCACTGTGTCAATCCATCTCATGGACAGTCTCCCTCTTTTCTGCTGACCTTATGCTTTAGCAAGTATACTGCCTTTTTCCAGCGACTGGTCTCTCCTGATGATGTGTCCAAAGTAAATGAGACAAAGTCTTGCCATCCTTGCTTCTAAGGAGCATTCTGGCTGTACTTCCTTCAGAACAGATTTGTTCGTTCTTCTGGCAGTCCATGGTATATCTGATATTCTCTGCCAACACCACAATTCGAAAGCATCGATTCTTCTTTGGTCTTCCTTTTTTATTGTCCATCTTTTGCATGCACATGAGGTGATGGAAAATACCATGGCTTAGATCAGGTGCACCTTAGTCATCAAAGTGACATCTCTGTTTGTTAACACTTTAAAGAAGTTTCTTGCTGCAGATTTGTCCAATGCAATATGTTGTTTGATTTCCTGACTGCTGCTTCCATGGGCATTGATTGTTGATCCGAGAAGAATGAAATCCTTGACAACTTCATTATTTTCTCTGTTTCTCATGATGTTGTTTTTTGGTTCAGTTGTAAGCATTTTCGTTTTCTTTACGTTCAGACGTAATCCATATTGAAGAACGTAGTCTTTTACCCTCATCAATAAGTGCTTCAAGTGGTCTTCATTTTCGGCAGGAAGGTTGTGTCATCTGCTTACCTCAGGTTGTTAATGAGTCTTCCTCCAATCCTGATGCCGCGCTTTTCTTCATACAGCCCAGCTTCTTGGATTATTTGTTCAGCACATAGACTGAATAAGGTGAAAGAATACGACCCCGCCACACACCTTTTCTAATTTTAAGACATGCAGTATCCCCTTGTCCTGTTCAAACCTTTGCCTTTTGATTCATGCACAGGTTCCACATGAGCACAATTAAGTGTGCAGTTTAATAATTCGTATTTAACTCTTTAATTTTTACAAAACTTTATTTTGTTTACAATAATAAAAGCTAACATTTATTGAATGTTCACTATATTACAGGTGCTATTCTAGGCTCTTTATATATGTAAACTCATTTAATTCTTACAGCAACCCTAAGGGTTAGGTATTATCAATATCCCAATTTTGAAGATGAAGAAACTAAGGCTTAGTGTGGTTAAGTAATTCAGCCACAGTCACACAGATAGTACAACTGGCTGTACCTAAAAATTAAGCAACATAGTCTGACTCCAGAATTTCTGTTTTTAACCACTATACTATGCGGATACTCAAGGTAACTCACTGCCACTTTTACTGAATATTCTTCCCTTAAGCACTGCTTTGTGATGCCTCTTTTAGCTACAGAAATTTTTTTTCACAGTATCTCTTCCTGGACTATTTAGTTTGCTCTACTGATTTGTCTTTTCTTACCATAACAACACATGGCTTTGCATACTGTAGCTATAAAATGATTTAATACTCAGAAGGTTTAGGATATGTTGTAATATACATCTAAAAGGACTATCAAGTAGTTGAGGAAAAAGGCAGTCTTAAGATATCCTTACCATACACTGGTGTCTTCCCTGGCAGGATGACGATAATGAGCTGCAGCCCAGAGTAGGTGTTCTTGAGATGCCGGAACATGGGCTCTACACTGTCTGCCCCCTGTGCATATTTGCAGAAGCAAGGCTGGCCCTGGATGGGCATCCCTGCATCCTTAGAGATCTTCCGCAGCTGATCCGTGAAACCCCTAGGAGAAACCACTAAAACTAAACCCTTTGTCTAGTCATCAACACCTATAAAGTAGGAACAGAAGTTTGGGAAGGGAATGGAAAATGAAGCAAAACTTTGTGTGCATCATGTAATAGAGGTCACCAGACTATTGATGTTAAGGCAAAGGTGGGTTAGTAATCTACTTGGGAACTAAAAACACCATTGCACAATTATACGGTATTTCGTAGTTTATAGAGAGCATTAGTACTAGAGTGTGCTGGTTAAGAGCTCAGCTTTGGAGTCAGCATGGTGGGTTCTAATCCCAGTTCTGCTAATTACTAGCTATAAAATCTTAGGTAAATTATTTCAGTTTTCTTTATCTAAAATTGATTACTTCCATTATAGAATTGGTGTGAAGATTAAAAGAGATAATGTATATAAAGCACTTAGCATACTGCCTAAGACATGGTTAAAAACTTGATAAATTTTAGCTATTGTACATTTTCTAATTTTATCCTGACAAGATTCATAAGAAAGAGGCAGGTCACGTATTATTGCCATTTTATAGATCAGGAAATAGCCTCAAGGATATCAAGTATTTAGCCAAAGTCAAATGATTACATAAATGGCGGAGCTGGAAGTATGACCCAGTTCAGAATTTCCTTCTGCAATATTATGTATCTCAAACTAGGAGAGCAGGAAAGATTATAATCATGGAAGAGATTAAAAGTAAAACAAAACAGGCAGGCAGCACTTTAATGTACTTTCATTCATACCAAAACCACAAAAAACAACTTCATATTTAAACAACATTCTGCATTTAGTCTACTGTAAGTGAGTAACGATGCTGGGGTTTTACAATCACTTTGTTCTTAAAACAAATAAGGTCCTAAGTCAAGGATCTGAGTGATCTTTGCTCAAAAACACTGTCTCTCTCAGGACAGAAATGAAGTCCGTAGGAATTCCCTTCTCCTTTTCAATATTAGTGTTTTATTCAAGAAGTATGAAGTTGAATATTTTTATTCAGCATAAACAAGACTATAGGCCCAAAGATTAGGAGACTTCTATTCAAGTCATAAATAAAAAATTTAAGTAAAACGAATACCTCTAAATTTGAAAAACAACTGGAGGTAACTTCTTTGGCCTCTGGAGGTCAAATAAGATAATTGTAACCGTGTAATAAACTGTCCTTACGATACTTTACTTGAAAGCAGTGGGATACAAATCATATTAACTGATCATTAATATATAAATTTAGAGATAAAGGGTTAATAAGAAAGAATGAACAAAGTACAGAATTTTTTTGTTTTTTTTTTTTAAATTCTCACATGAAGAAGGCAAGGTAAATTCTGACCTGACCTTGGTTAAACTGGTCTCTATATCACTGATGGACTATTCATAATGGTCCTACTTTATATGAGCTGTTAGTGGAGGTTTTAACTAGACAAGAAGAATTTTCTTAAGAAAATTAGATCCTCGAGGGGGAGATAAGATACAAATAATTATAATACAAGGCAGAAAGTGACAAGCACAGACAGATTTATAAATTAGTATGTTAATTTAGAGGTGAGACAGATTATTTTCTGCATAAGGACTCAGAGAAGATTGGGTAGTATTTGGATAGGTAGAGATAGGAGCTGGGCATTCTCAGTAGAGAACAGCATGAGCAGAAATGGGAAAAAAATGCCAGGGAGATAGAAGGAATACAGTGCTTCAGTTTCTTTGTCCAGAGTATGAGAAAAGAGAGTATGAGAAAAGACTTAAGAGGCAAGTCAAAGATTTTAAATATCAAACTGGCTTTGAATGCTATTCTTTATTAGAGACATCTGATAGTTTTGGAGGAGGATAGTCACAAGTGGAGCTGCTGTTCTTTCATGGTAGCACGTCTCCTTAAACAAGGTTGACAGCAGAAGTCCTTGAGACTATGTCAGATCTAAAGGAGCAAGAATAGACAAGCAAGAGGAAAAGAAACCAGACAAAGTGGAAAAAAAGGAACCAGGAAGTCAAGAGGGAAGAAAAGGTCAAGAAGGTAGTCAGTTATCTCTAATGCTGCACATATTTTGAGGAAAATAATGGCCAAGAAGGAACCATTACACCTGATAAGCACAAAGATATCAAAGATCTTCTAGGACCCAGTCTCAGCAGAGCACTATGAATTCAAGGAAGCCTGAAAGAATAAGTTAGGTAAATTGAAAATTAAAAAGAAAAAATTGAACAGAAGATTGCTGAGCACTTATACTGAGGGAAAGAATCTGGGGAAGGGGGGAAAATGTAGAGGTCAAATTTTGGAAAGTAAGGAAATAGAAACGAGTTGTTTAATTCCACTCTTTCAAAAATCTCAACTGAATAAAATCGAAAACGATAAAGATCATGGAAGAAAAAATAGGGACAAAGCTAGGAGCCCTAATACATGACAGAAACACAATACGAACCATAAGTAACAATGCACAAGCACCAGAAGAGAGACTAGATAAATGGGAGCTCCTAAAAATCAAACACTTACGCTCATCAAAAGACTTCATCAAAACAGTAAAGAGACAACCTACAGACTGGGAAAAAATTTTTGGCTATGACAAATCCAATCAGCATTTAATCTCTAAAATCTACAAGATACTGCAAAACCTCAACAACAAAGAGACAAATAACCCAGTTAAAAAATGGGCAAAGGATATGAACTGGCACTTCACCAAAGAAGATATTCAGGCGGCTAACAGACACATGAAGAAATGCTCACAATCATTAGCCATTAGAGAAACGCAGATCAAAACTACAATGAGATATCATCTTACCCCAACAAGGCTAGCATTAATCAAAAAAACACAAAATAAGAAATGCTGGAGAGGTTGTGGAGAGACTGGAACACTTATACACTGTTGGTGGGAATGTAAAATGGTACAACGACTTTGGAAATCGATTTGGCGCTTCCTTAAAAAGCTAGAAATAGAAGTACCACATGATCCAGCTATCCTGGAATATATCCTAGAGAAACAAGAGCCGTCACATGAATAGATACATGCACATCCATATTTATCACAGCACTGTTCACAATAGCAAAAAGTTGGAAGCAACCTAGGTGCCCATCAACGGACGAATGGATAAACAAATGGATATCCACACAGTGGAATATTATGCAACAATAAAGAACAATGATGAAGCTGTGAAACATCGTATAACATGGTGGAAGCTGGAACTTATTATGCTGAGTGAATTTAGTCAGTCACAGAAGGGCAAATACTGTATAAGACCACTATTATAAGAACTCAAGAAAAGGTTTAAACACAGAAGAAAACATTCTTTGATGGTTACCGGGGTGGGGAGGGAGGGTGAGGGTTACTTACTAATTAGATAGTAAATAAGAATCATCTTAGGTGAAGGGAAGGACAGCACACACTACAGGGGAAGCCAGCACAACTGGACTAAACCAAAGCTAAGAAGTTTCCTCAATACAATCAAATACTTTGAGAGACAGAGTAAGCAGGGATGGGAGGTCTGGGGACCATGCTTTCAGGAGACATCTATGCCAACTGGCATAACAAAGCTTAGTAAGAAAATGTTCTGCATCCTACTTTGGTGAGTGGCGTCTGGGGTCTTAAAAGCTTGCAAGTGGCCATCTAAGATGCATCAATTGGTCCCAACCACTTGGAGTAAAGGAGAACGAAGAACACCAAAGACACAAGGAAAGTACTAGCCCAAGAGACAGAATGGGCCACATAAACCAGAGACTTCACGAGCCTGAGACCTGAAGAACTAGATGGTGCCTGGCTACCACCAATGAACGTCCTGACAGGGAACATAACAGAGGGTCCCTGATGGAACAGTAGAGTGATGGGATGCAGAACTCAAATTCTAGTAAGAAGACCAGACTTAATGGTCTGACTGAGACTGGAGGCGCCCTGGAAAGCATGGCGCCTGGACTCTCTATCATCCCAGATCTAAAACAATTTCTGAGGCCAACTCTTCAGACAGGGATTGGACTGGACTGTGGGACATAAAGTGATACTCATGAAGAATGCGCCTCTTAGTCAAGTAGATACAAGAGACCAAAGGGGCAGCTTCTGTCCAGAGGTGAGATGGGAAGGCAGAGAGTTAGGAGCTGGCTGAATGTTCATGGGGAATCAGGGGCGGAGGGGAGGAGTGTGCTGTCGCAGAATGGGGTGAGCGGCTGGGGTCTCATAACAATGTATGTTAAAAAAATTTTTTTTGTATGGGAGACTAACTTGGAATGTAAACTTCATTTAATTACAACAATTAAAAAAAAATCTCAATTGAGAAATAAGGAGAGACAGCACAGTAGTTGTAAAGGAACTTAGAATTAAGAGAAATACTTTCTTTGCTTTATTTTCTAATGGGCGAACCAAGCATGTTTTTAACTATGATCAAACCAGTTGAGAGAAATATGTTGAAGAAATGAGAAAAAATTTATGATTAAAGGTCCTGGAAGAGATTGGAAGCGATGTGATAAACAGCACAGATAAAGGAATTTGCCTGGAATGGGCTTGGAGGAAATGGGCAAAATGGTAGAATTATCTTTGGAGTGGAAGAAGAACAGAAGAACATCTCTTGCTCTGACATGGAAGCAAAGAAAGGAAACACAGGTAAATAAACACTAAGAACATACAGCCTCAAACTCAAAGTCTAAGTCATACTTTAAGTTTTGTTTTCTACTGTAATAGAATAAAAGCTATAACAACAACAACAACAACAAAAAAAAAAAACCGAGCAGCAGAGGTCCCCCCATTTCTTTCTCAGGAGAAGCTATATTTTATTTCCCACTAGGCTTTCGATCACAGGAGTAGGTTAGGGTGGTCAGAATGAAGACGCCTAATGGGGAAGGGCAGTAGCACTACTGTATGCTGAGGTATCTTTCTTGTTCCATGACTATTAAATTTAAGAAAAGTGACGCTCAGTGGCAGCTGCTGCTAAGAAGGTATGCACAGAAGTATTAAAAGAAAATAAAAGCTACCATCAATTGACTGCTCACTTTATGCACCAAGCACCTTACACTTATAATCTTATTTAATTTTCACCCTTTAGGTACGTACTACAGGTAGTACTTGACTTATGACAGGATTCTGTTTGACTCCACGGTAAGTAGGTTCTGACTTAAGTCAAATACATCTTTTTTTTTTCTTTAGTTTTCGTTATTATTGCCTTTTATTATCAGTATCTTCATAAATTCGATCCTAATTCTGTCTTTGGGGGTTGGAAACATTACATATAAACATCTGCAAGTGAACATCTGAGAATGATAACATCAGCAAATTACATGCTGCAACATTGTGTGTAGTTAAAAAAAAAAAAAAAAAAAAGCCAACGGTCCTAAGTGCATTTGTCATAACTCGAATCTGTAGTAAGTTGGGGACTACCTGTAGTCTTTCTTTTACAAAGGTGAAAACTAAGCATAATGAGATTAAATAAATTATCCATGACAATACAGTTAGAAGTAGCAAAGCTGGGAATTAAACCTAACCAACCTGCCATCGAAAGCCAATGATGCTGCTGCTACCACACAAGCCTGTTATGGGTTGAATCGTGTCCCCAAAATGATGAAGTGAAGTCTTAACCATCCCCGCCCCCCGATTTGTCAATGTGACCTTATTTGGGAATAGGGCCTTTGCAGATACAATTAGTTAATATGAGGTCATTCTAGGGTAGGGTGGGCCCTAATCCAATATGACTGGTATCCTTATGGAAAGAGAAGAGACACAAAGACCTACACAGAGGGAAGACAGATAGCCATGTGAAGATGGAGGCACAGATTAAAGTTATGTTTCCCAACTAAGGAATGCCTGGGGCTACCAGAGCTGAAAGAGATAAGAAAGGATCCTCCTCCAGAACCTCTGGGTAGAGCGCAACCCTGACGACACCCTGATTTCAGACTTCTGGCCTCCAGATCTGGGAGAGAATAAATTTGTTATTTTAAGCCACCCAGTTTGTAGTAATCTGTTAAGGCAACTCTAGGAAACTAAGACAGTCTATTAGGATGTCTAGAAGAATAAACTAATGACTTTACTATGACTAAACAATTTAGGCATCTTCATCAACTATTTACAAACATATTTAAAGGTTCAGTGATTAAACATTCTCCATATTGAGCAAACACTGGATAGAACATTAGCTGACTAATTTAGAAATGAAATACAAATCTAAATACAAAAAGGTCTCAAAGCCAAAGTAATGGCATGCCTTACTTCAGTATTTCTTCTCTGCACTGCCTCTGTGTAGCAAAACAAGCTATAGCCCACATTTTGATTTCAACTCCTGTGTGGAATTGTTTCCCTCGCATGTCCCATACTCCATGGCTTGGTGTTGCTACTGTCCGATTCTACAGAAAAAAGAGAAAGAGAAATAACAAGGCAAAAGAGGACAAAAACTTAACATACAATTTATTACAATGAGCTGGAAAAAGGAACTTCAAATTACTGATTTCTGATATTCTACATGGTAAGACTATTCTATGACAATATTATTTATACTTTACTCATAAAAAAATAAAAATTCTACTAAACTCAAGCAAAGACACCCACCTTAAAACAACAACAAAAATTTTATTGGAACAATAAAACACTTTCTAAATTCCCGACTTAGCTAGGAGACTCTTCTCTCCTTAGAAACTTCATGTGTAAGATTAAGAAACTATCAAGAGTTTTTACCCGTCCTCCATACTGTAGCATAGGTGCTGGAAGTACACGTCCGGTTACGTGCGCCATTTCGTCCCGAACTTTAAATTGAAACTCCTGAACAAATGGATCTGTTTCATAATTTGCACTTCTTACCTAACCACAGAAAAAGTTTGTATAGTTATTCTCAAAATTACAGAAATCCTGTTCTACTCATTAGAACTTTCTATTTATTTTCCCTCATTGTGTCAACAACATGTTTTGTAATAGGTCTTGTTAACGATGTCCAGCTGTAGAGAAGAGACTCTTAACTTTGGAACCAGGGGTTATGAATGAACTCCAAGAAGTCTGTGAACTCTCTGATAATTTATACACAATTTAAATGAATGTATTAGGTTAAATCCTAAGAAATTTTCATTGTTTTTGATCCATAAAAATGTTAATTTTACATGATTCAACCTAGTATGTTTTGGGAGGGTGGTTTGTAGATTACAATAGATTCTCAAAGAAATACCTGATCTAAAAAAGGTTAAGAATCCCTGATTATAGAGGATCCAGACATATACAATTAAAGGATTATTTTACATAGAGTTTGATAGCAAATACTGCCATACACCCACTGATAATCCTAAAACTTTCCTCCCTAATTACTTGATTTACAATTTAAATAAAATTTACTTCAGCATTTTCAGATAAGTAGTGCCGTATTATAAAATTTACTTAATGTGATATACTTGAGACAGATAAGAAAGCCACTATAAGTTAGTTTATAATTTTTACATAATATATCCATACATAAAATCAAAGATGAAGGATTTATTATAATTCAGTATAGACTTGGATCTCAGAGTATTACTCATGTTTACAGTATGCTATAGTAACCATGTTTTTCCATACATATTTGCTTGTTTTCAGGGTGAATATCACATAGGTTGTTTTTTAAAAGATGGTACTGCTCAATTCTTTGAGTAACAATCCATTTTTTAAAACCTATATAATCTAAATATGTAAAAAAAAAATCTCCCCACAATAAGTAGGAAAGTCATTTTCTGTATTAGGTACTAATCAATTTTTTCATTCACTTTTAAGTGCCATTCATTTTTGGTGTGTTAGTGCACAGTAAGGTTACAACTTTAACAACTACTATTCATCAAGACTTACTGTGTGATGTGCTTGGTGCTAAGAGCGTTACAATTAATTTTCATAATAACCTCATGAGGTAGGTCTTTTATAATCTTTATTTTACAGAGGATAAAACTTAAGTTAAACGATTTGCCTAAAACCACAATTAAGCAAGTGACATAGAATCTGAAACCATGTATGTTCTGATTCTAGATTTCCTACTCTCAATCACTGCACTTCTAGATGCTCTAATTATAATAAAACAATAATAGTAGCATTAAGTAGAGAAGATAAACTTTGAACCCAGGACTGTTAGACTCCAAAGCCTGTGCTTTTAATGACTATATAATATTGTCTTACTGAACAATTAAGCTATAATAATTGTTACTATGATTTTATAGACTAGAGATAGTGAGAGGTTCTAGTCTCTTTTTTAAAAATACTTTATTATGTTTAGGTGAAAGTTTACACAGCAAATTAAGTTCCCATTTAATAATTTTTACACAAATTGTTCTGTGCCATTGGTTATAATTTTCACAATGTATCAGCATTGTCCTTATTTCCACTTTGTTTGTTCTATTTCCACCGATCTAGCTTCTCTTCCCCTCCTTGCCTTCTCATCTTTGCTTTTGGTAAATGCTGACGGTTTTGTCTCATATATTCGATTGCTGAAGGGAGCACATTACTCACGGGCTATACTGTTTATTTTATAAGCCAATCTATTATTTGGCTGAAAGGTGACCTCCAGAAATAGCTTCAGTTCCAAGTTCAAAAGGTATCTTTAGGCAATGTTCTCAGGGGTTCTTATAGCCTCTATTCGTCCTATAGGTCTGGCCTTTTTCAGGAAATTGAATTTTGCTCTATATTTATCTCTCATTCTATCCAGAACCTTCTATTGTGTCCCTGGTCATAAAGGTTGGTAGTGGGAGTCAGGCACCATCTAGTTTTTCTGGTCTCAGGTTAGAAGAGATCGTGGTTCTTGTGGGCTATTAGTCCTATGGACTAGTTTTATTCTTTGAGCCTTTGTTTTCCTTTACTCTCTTCTGCTCTATATGAGTACAGACCAATAACTGTATCTTAGACGGCCGCTCAAAAGCTTTACAGACTGCAGAGGCTACTTACCAAATTAGGATGTGGAACATTAGCTTTATGAACTATGTTATACCAATTAACTAAGTTGTCCCCCAAGACTAAGGTCCTAAGCCAATTAACCCAGTAAACCAATTCCGTGAGTTATTTGGATATGTCTAGGAAGACTCCATAACTGTGCCTATGTGCTTTCTTATACATATGGATATACATGCAGCACACACCAAACGTGTATACACATATGCCTACAGATACACCTAGACATGCACATGCATTTACTCGCATATGCCTTCCTATACACATATATGCATACATATCTACTTATGTAACCACACACATATTTTTTGGTTGTTGCAAAATTGTGTTATGTTATAGCATTTACCAAAAATGTCCCCGTTTCTTGTGTACTAGTTTGTGTCTTCATTTACCTTGGTCAAGTTGGGCTGACTTCACTCATATTTGGTATTCCTTTCCCATCACCAAAAATAACAAGTGTCTACTATCTAGAAAGTGATTCCTCTTCCCTCTCCCTCCCATCCCTGGTAACCATTAAAGAACGTTGCTTTCTGTGTGTATATCTACTCTAGACTTTTTATAATAGTAGGACCATACAGTATTTGTCCTTTCGTGATTTTTGTGACTTCACTCAGCATGATGTCCACCAGATTCATCCACATTATGTTTCGCAGGCTCCTCATTATCCTTTATAGTTGCGTACTATTCCACTGTATGTATGTACCACAATTTGTTTATGCATTCATCTGTTGATAGGCACTTAGGTTGTTTCCATCTTTCTGCTATTATGAATAATGCTGCAATGAACATGAGTGTGCATATGTCTATTCGTGTGACGGCTCTTATTTCTCTAGGATATATTCCTAGGAGTAGGATTGCTAGAGCATAAGGTATTTCTATTTCTAGCTTTTTGAGGAAGTGCCGTACCGTTTTCCATAGTGGTTGTACCATTTTACAATCCCATCAGCAATGTGTAAGAGTTCCAATCTCACCATAACCTCACCAGCATTTGTTGTTTTGTTTTTTTGATCACTGCCATTTTTGAATGGGTGAGACGGTAAAACATTGTGGTTTTGATTTGCATCTCTCTAACGGCTAAAGGTCGTGAGCATCTTTTCACGTATTTGTTGCCTGCCTGAATGTCCTCTTTGGTGAAGTGTATGTTCATGTCCTTTGCCCTTTTTTTGATTCGACTGTTTGTCTTTTTATTGTTGAAGTTTTCTATATATTTTAGAGATGAGATCCTTGTCAGGTATGTCGTTGCCAAAGATTTTTTTCCCAGCCTGTACGTTCTCTCTTTGGCTGAAGGGTGAACCTCAAGAGTGACTTCAGTACTGAGTTAAAAAGGTGTTCAGGGGCCATACTCTTGGGGTTTAGCCAGTCTCTGTCAGATTAGTAAGTCTAGTCTTTTTTTGTGAGTTTGAATTTTCTTCTACATTTTTCTCCTGCTCTGTCCAGGAGCTGCTATTGTAATCCCTGTCAGAGCAGTCAGTGGAGGTAGCCGGGCACCATCTAGTTGTACTGGACTCAGTTTGGTGGAAGCTGTGGTAGTTGTGGTCCATTAGTCCTTTGGACTAATCTTTACCTTGTGTCTATGGTTTTCTTCATTCTCCCTTGCTCCAGACGGGGTGGTACCAGTAGATGTTATCTTAGATGGCTATTCACAAGCTTTTAAGACCCCAGACGCTACTCACCAAAGTAGGGTTTAGAACTTTTTTTTTTTAATAAACTATGTTATGCCAACTGAGACGTCCTCTGAGACCATGGCTCCTAGCCCTCAGCCCAGTAACTGGGTCCCTCAGGGAGTCTGGATGTGTCTATGAAGCTTCTATGACTTTGCCTTAGTCAAGCTGTGCTGAGTTCCCCAGCGCTGTGTACTGTCTTTAGGCTTCACCTAAGTCACCACTTACCTACTGTCCAGCTAGTGTTTTTCTTTCCCCACTCCTCCCCTCCCTTGTAACCGTTAAAGATTGTTTCTTTCTATGGGTAAACCCTTTCATGAGTTTTTATAACAGTGTTCTCATATAGTATTTGTCCTTTTGCGACTGACTTATTTCACTGAGCATAATACCCTCCAGATTCATCCATGTTGTGAGATGTTTTGCAAATTCATCATTGTTCTTTATGGTTGCAGAGTATTCCACTGTGTGTATGTACCATAGTTTGTTTATCCATTCATCTGTTGATGGGCATTAGGTTGTTTCCGTCTTTTTGCTATTGTGAACAATGCTGCAATGAACACGGATGTGCACATGTCTATTCATGTGACAGCTCTTATTTCTCTAGGATATATTCCTAGGAGTGGGACTGCTGGATCCTATGCTATTTCTATTTCTAGTATTTTAAGGAACCGCAATATTGTTTTCCAAAATGGTTGTACCATTTTGCATTCCCGCCAGCAGTGTATAAGAGTTCTAATCTCCCTGCAGCTGCTCCAATATTTGTTATTTTCTGTTTTTTTGACTGGTGCCAGTAATGTCAGGGTGAGAAGGTATCTCATTGTGCCTTTGATTTGCATTTCTCTAATGGCTAGTGATCATGGGCATTTTCTCATGTGTCTGCTAGCTACCTGAAATGTCTTCTTTGGTGAAGTGTCTGTTCATATCCTTTGCTCATTTTTTAATTGGATTACTTGTCTTTTTGTGTAGAGGTGTTGGATTTTCCTATAGATTTTTTTATTGTACTTTAGATGAAGGTTTACAGAACTAGCTTCTCGTAACAGTTAGTAAACATATTGTTTTATGACACTGGTTAACAACCCCATGACATGTCAATACTCTCCCTTCTCGACTTTGGGTTCCCTATTGCCGGCATTCCTGTCCCCTCCTATCTTCTATTTCTTGCCCCTGGGCTGGTATGCACCTTTAGTCTCATTTTATCCTGTCTAATCTTTGGCTAAAAGGTGAATCTCAGTAGTGACTTCATCACTG